TTTTATTGATTTTGTACAGAGAGAAAGGGAGAGGGATAGAGAGTTAGAAACATCAATGAGAGAGAGTCATCGATCAGCTGCCTCTTGCACACCCCCTACTGGGGATATGCCCGCAACCAAGGTACATGCCCTTGACCAGAATCGAACCCGGAACCTTTCAGTCCCCAAGCCGACGCTCTATCCACTGAGCCAAACCGGTTTCGGCCGGATTAATGTTTTAAGTACAATGCTAGTGAATGTGTTTACAGGTTCAAAGTACAGCTGATACAATCTAGTAAAAAGAAAGAAAATAAATTGTATAGGTCATTTTGCATCAAGAAGAGGATCAAGGATCTAGGACAAAAATAGAAAGATTATAAAGAGCAAACCCACCTCAAATATACTATCTTCTGCATGGCTAACGTCATGTGACAACAGTAAACTGTAATTCAATATTCAACAGAGGACTAGTGATCAGAGATGAAAATGGCATGGTCCCCCGACTCCAAAAACTCCCAAGGGAACACGATTGTCATACACATAACAACGCACAATTCTCCAAAGCAAGAGCCAAGGATGAAGGTGTAAATAAACTGGGGAGGTAACCAGGCCCGCTAGGAAAAGGGAGAAGAAGATGGGAGATGCTTCGCTAGAAGTGACATTTGAGTTAGGTTTGGAAAATCAAGTAGGAATCTTGATCTTGGAAAGAAAGAGGATCTGGGCCAGGGACAAAGAACATTCCAGACAAAGGAGAGAACAGGGTGGAGGAAAGTGCACTGAGCATCCCCTTCCTTCCAGGAAGACAGAGATTTCCCATGGAGCCACCAAGCCCTGACTGAGCAGCCTCGCTAGAACTGGTTTTAAGTCAAAAGATGAGAAAAAATAAACACAATAAAACATACCCAGTGAGATACCTTTATTGGCCCAGACGTGAACAGAGGTAGAGACGGAGGCAGAATGTTACAGCGAGTCTAACCCGGCAAGCATTTTCATTAAGAATCCCTTCTCCAGGCATACCCAATATTTACGATTCTCCATTCAACATGTCACCCTGTCACTATAACTCTAGGTGAGATATGCCACCTTGGGCCAGCCCAATTATCCATTCGATCCAATATCTGTCTCTGACACGGCACTGGGGGACATTGGCTGGAAGGACATGATAGATGTGGCCCACTCTGTCCGTCTTAAAATGTTAGGGGATTAGTGGCTCACCATCAAGAAGGAGGTAATTTAGTCTACTTGCCAAATTTGTACTTAAAAACAACAACAGAGGAATGTATTAATGTAGAACTTACATAATTGATCATTTCTTGGAGCTTCTCATTAGCTACTCCTCAATGAACAACAACCTGGTCTCTGCACGTAAATGATTGGGGGGAACGGGAGTAAACCATTCATTAATATGTTATTTAAAGTGGTCTCATTGTTCTTGCTAACAGGCTTATAAATCCAAATGCAGATTCCTAAATTGGGACTACTTCTAACAGAGTAGACCAACCTGATCCATCTGAAAGATAAAGAACACCCCCGATTCTTCGCTGTCTTTGGGGGGAAACTGAGGCCAACACAGTGCAGGTCCTTGTTGACTTAACTAAATTTCAACAGCAAGTTGCAAAGGCAAACTTTCTCCACAGAAATGCTATTCTCTAACAAGACCCAGGCTGATTTATCAGCTCTTGTATAAGCAAATCCGGCCAATGCATAACGCTTCATATTGCAAATCTTTGAGGGCCACCGATGGTTATTACCAGCACAGCACAATAGCTGGCTGGAAAGACCAACTTAATTCATGAGCAGCCGTCCTTTCTACACCGTGCATACATGGAAATTCCTCTTTGATTTGTAGCTTTAATCACAGCTTCCAAAGCCTGTCATTATTTATGAGTCTGACTTTTACACTGACGGTCAATGGGAAACACTTACACCGGCTACCTGGTAGGAAAGAACTCTGCAGTCCAGGCACATCATGTGCTCCATTTTGATACTGCACACCTGTTTTCCTGCCAACACACCGGCTGGGAACAGAGTCGGGGAGACTGGAGTGCTAGAGTCTATTATACATTGTACTAATGAGTGAAAAAATCTATACTAATAAAAGGGTAATATGCTAATTAGACCGGGAGATTTTCCAGAAGACATTTTTTTTTTTACATTCTTCCAGTCAAAGCCATGGTGGTGGGGCAGAGGCAGAGGCAGAGGCAGAGGCAGTTAGGGGTGATCAGGCCCAGGCGGGGAGGGCAGTTGGGTTGATCAGGCTGGCAAGGGGGCAGTTGGGGCAAACAGGCAGGCAGTTGGGGGCAAGGGAGCTGGCAGAGGGGGGTTGTTGGGGGCAATCAGGCTGGCAGGGGAGGGCAGTTGTGGATGAGCAGGCTAGTGGGGGTGGGGGCATTTGGGGGTGAGGAGGCTGGCTAGGGGGGTAGTGGGGACAAGCAGGCCAGCAGGCAGAGTGGTTAGGGGTGATCAGGCAGGCAGGCAGATGAGCAGTTAGGAGCCAGTGGTCCCAGATTATGAGAGGGATTCCAGATTGGAGAGAGTGCAGGCTAGGCTGAGGGACAATCTACCCCCGCATCCTCTCCCCCGCACGAATTTCAATGTCCACTGGTATTACTTAAAAATGCAGCAACTTCTCTAGGCTGCCTTGAGACAGACTAGAAAAGAAAAAACGGTTATGAAAGAAAGCAACCTATATGTGCATGTGCGTCTCTACCTTCAGACTGTTCAATATATTTAAAACTATCAAGTAATGCTGGCCAGCATGAAGTCACCTCTCTACTGACCCCTTCACCAAACTGCCGGGAAGGTGGCCTTCATCCTCCTGGAAAGCAGCAAGTCCCACTCCTGTGCTACACCCCACACTCTGCACTCATCCACCTCCTTTCTGCTCTCTGCCATCTTTCCCTTTTCACTAACTCCTTCCCCACAGTTCAGTCATGCTCCCCCATGCCTTGATTTTAAAAATCAATATGGGGGGGGGGGGGTGTGTGTGAAGTATAACATTCATATAGAAAAGAGTATAAATAATGAATTTTCACAAACTAAACACATCAAGTAACCAGCATTCAGCACAAGAAAACTGCTAGCAGCATTTTCTAAAACCCATCATGCTCCCTCCACCCACTTCACCTCCCTCAACCCACTTCACCTCGGGAATGACCACTCTCCTGCCTCTTTACCAACTAGATTAGAGTTGCTTGTCTTGTCCTTTGTATCCACAAAATCATGTAGGTTGTACCCTTCTCTGTCTGGTTTCTTTCACTCATGGTTATGTTGGTGAATTTCATCCACATTCTCACCTACAGTTGTAGATCACTCGTTCTTACAACTGCCTAGTTTTCCACTGTGTAAACACAACCACAATTTATAACCCATTGTACTCACGATGGACATTTGGGTGGGTTTTAGCCTTTGACTATTAAGAATAGTGCTCCTATAACCATATCTTTTTGAGAGCGTATGTCATGTTTTGTTGGAGATATAACCAGGAATGGAATTGTTGGGCCGTTCAAATCCTTCTTTTCTTTTCTTTTCTAACATTTTCAGAGTAGATAGAAATAATGCACATGTGCTCTGGGCTCTTCTACCCAGGAAGAAAAGCAACTGACCTCAACCCTTCCAGCCCCTCCAGCCACTGATTCTTGAAAAGCTGCACCCCCTGTCAGGCTGTCAGCTCCCAAGAGCAGTGGTAGGTTTTGTACCACTGCCTGGGTTACTTCCTAGAACAGAAATCCCAGCAAAACATCCCTGGATGGCCTACTGCCTCTCAGGTCAAGTCTAAGCCCTGTGGCCGATCAGGCATTCTTCCCTGTACGCTCTCTACCCGTCCTCCCAGTCTCATCCCATTCTTCTCTTCGGAGACACCCCTTGTTCCCCAGACCTTCTCACCATGACTCTACCTCTCTCTGTCTGAAATGTCCATCACCCACTCAAAAGGCACCCCCTTCCTACTCCAGGCAGATGGAGTCACTATTTTCTTAACGCCCAACTCTCTGTCTCTCTCCTGATAGACGGGCGCTGCGTTATCTCTGCACAGGCACCTCCCCTCCAGGAAAGAGCATCTCTAAGGTAGAACCCAAGGCTGCTTCCTACTTCTTCCCCCAGTGCTCTCCGCAGGCTGGCACCTTGGAGGACATGGAGAAACATTTGTTACATGGATGACTCACTTCCCACATGGAAAGCAACCACCTGCCCTCATCTCTTTTTTTTCCCCCCACCAGGGTTAAGACTAAGTGTGTTTTAAAGGTCAAAACCACTTTCTCTTTCACTAGCTGGGTTTTGTTGCAGATTTTCTGTTTAAAATATCTTAATTTGTGATGTAGAAAGCCATTTAAATTCTTTTTAAACAGAGATCAGTTCAGGGAATCTCTGATCATCTGTTTGCCTCACAGGAAATGGAAAATGCAGACAACAAAAGTGAAATGCATTGCGATTTCTCAGAAGGGAAGCAAAAGCTGATTCTGCTTCCACTGCTCTGACTCTTTTGTTCCTTGCCACCCTTATCCTGCTGGGAGAAAACAGGTAATGTTTTTTATCCTCAGCACAGCAACAGGAAAAATGAGACGCGAAATTTGAGCAACTGGTCAAAGGTTACTCAACAAAGCAGAGGTTGCGATAGCAAAAAGCTCAGCTCTTCAAACTAAATCTGATAGGAAAGACAGCCTATTAGATTGGCTCAGCTAATTGACAGACTTATGGGCTCTGATAGAATGAAATCAGCTTGATTTAAAACAGGGGTTGGCAAACTACACCCTGTGGGCCAAATCCAGCCCACGGCCTATGTTTGTAAATAAAGTTTTATTAGGAAACAGCCATGCCCATTTGTTTATGTTCTGTCAGCGGGTACCTCCAGGCTGTCACATCAGAACTTCTGGCTCAAAAAGCCTAAAATATTTACTATCTCAATCTTTACAGAAAAAAAAAAAAAAAAGTTTGCCCATCTTTGATTTAGAAAATAGTTTGATGTCTAGATTTTGTTCTCTTTCCCAAGATCAACATATTCAAGTTCCTGTTCCTGTTCAAACTATTTCACTTAATGGGAGGTCTTTTTTTCTTTCTTTCTTTCTTTTTTTAATTAACTATCTTGATTCAAGTTTACAGGAGAAAAAAAGTTCAGTGGTTTGGTTTCAGGCTCAAATTAGTATAGTTTCTCTGCTTTGGGGGCATGCAGCTTGATTGTGGTCCTTAAGCAGAACTTTCTCATAACCTGGAACAAAGTGGGCAGATGCAATGCAACTCTTTTTGCTCTGGAAGATGTCTTTTATTCCAGCTCGAACATATACTGCTCCTTCCAGCACTAAGATTGAAAGAGTCTATCTTTATTCCTCTGACTTTTCTCACCAAAAGGTCCAATATCATTTGTTCACATCTACTTCCAACTTTTTTCACAGGTAGCAGCTCTTAAAAACTAAACATTTGAAAAGAAATAGTGTTCCCCTAATACTAACATATTCTATAAGTCTGTCTTTTGAAGCTGAATGCATCCAATAATAATTGCAGCCAGTTTCAGAATTGCAATCCAGGTTTCCAACTCTCTGTGCAGATTTTAAAACTTTGTATTGTATTATGGAAAACTTTTTAAAAACCTTATATTATGGAAACTTTCAAATGTATGCAAAAATAAAACAGTATAATAAACCCCCTTATACCCAACAATCAGCTTGAAAATCGATATTCTACTATTTTTCCCGTTATCCTTCTTCCCAACTCTTTGCTTGTTTTTTGTTTGTTGCAGTATTTGAAAACAGACCTCACACATCTAATCATTTCATCCATAAATATTTGTTTCTGTTTGATATGACCCTTCTCCTTTGAACAAAACTGTGACACCACTATTATATCCAACAAAATTAATAATAATTCTTAACATAATCTAATACCCAGTCCAAATTCAGTTCTCCCCAACTGTCTCAATAACATTTTTTTATAACTGGTTTGTTCAACAAGGGATCCAAATTTAACCACAAACTATATTTTGTTGCTAGGTTTCTTTATATCTATAATAGGTCCCCCTCAATTTTTTTTCACCTACTACTGGCATATACTAAATTCTAACTAGCCAAGTAAACCTTACCAAGAGTAATTCTTCGTCAGCCTCCACATGATTGTGAGCACACCCAGACATTCACAAGCCCGTACGCCCCGTAGGCATGGGTTCACACAGCTCCACTTTCCATATGCACACCACACAGCTCCACTTTCCATATGCACACCACACAGCTCCACTTTCCATATGCACACCACCAGCGGGACCAATACACCAGGCCATCCACACACACTGCTCTCAAGAGAAGGAAGTTAGATTGCTTCAGCAACCTAATTCTCTAAAATTAAATCTTTTCTATGTTGCAATGGCCCGAAGACTCAGAATGATTTAAAGGAACAAGGCATCCATTCATTATGGCTTCTTTTTTAAGTTACCCAAATTTAATCAAGAATCACAAAGTAAATCAGACAAGCCTTCTAATCCGTTACTGTCACCGGTAACAACACTAATTGAACACCTAGATCATGCAGAACATTGGGTTATAAAAAGGATGATCTGTATCCCTGCCCAAAGCCACATGTGGCCAAAATGGAATGGTTATTGCATCATTTAGATAAACATGCCCAAGGATGATAAGAGGCATATAACAACCCAAACCAACACCTATGCCCCTGCCATCAGGTTAACACTATTTGTGAGGTCTGGGTGATGGAATAATATGAACAAGAGTCAGGACAGAGACTGATGGCTAGTTCTATCATGTATGTATTGTGCCACATGGGATAAGTTACTTAAGCTCTCTGACTCTCAGTTTCATCATCACCTACCTCACTGAGTACCAGCTGTTCACTCTGAACCAGAAAATCTTATATGGAAGTCTAGCAAAAATGATTATTAAAATAACAATAACATCACTGAATATAATACTCATTATGCCAGGCACTGGGCTGAAATGTTTTATGTGTACTATCTCATCTAATCCTCACATCAGTCCTATGAGTCATATCCCTATTCTCATGTTATTTTCCAGATGAAGAAACTGAACAAAGTGAGTGATCTGCCCAAGCTGATGCAGCTAAGGGAAGGAAGTGGGTCACAGGGCCTCAGGATTCCTGCTGTCAACCATGGCAGCATGTCTCCCAAATACCAACACAATGAAGTGTAAAGTGGGACCCAGGGCAGCATAAATTATTGGGAGAGAGAGGGTCAGGCTCGCATTTTATGGCTATTAAAGCAATTACATTGTTAGTTCATAAGGTACAGCACCCCACAACCCAAACTCCTGCCCAAACAGGAAGCCCCAGGAGGCTCCCAGAATTACCCTACTCAAGGCCAGGGTATGTTCAGAGCCATAATGGTAGTTTCCTTCCTAACTGGGGCAAATCTTCAGCTGCTTGCTAAAGAGTATTTAAAGCCATTTTTATTACATGTCTCTAAAACCCAATATTTGTTGAAATAGGACCAAAGTAAAATCATAATAATTTTTCCTATGTAATCTCTGACTTCCTTTTTATATGGCTATTGTATACAAAAAAGACTGAAGGAAGCTAGCCGGCAGGAAAGAGCGCCAATTGCCTGCAGCCACCATGCTTTGAGAAGCTCACCCAGCTAAGTGGAAAAGGCAACTGGAGGACTGAGGACCTGGGCAACAGCCCCAGCAAACCTCTGGCCCATAGCCATGGCAGTGAAGCCAATTTGAACCTTCGTACCTCCTCAGATCTCACCCAGGCTACACCCTGAACTGTAAGAAATAATAAAATGCTGTTGGTTTAAGCCACCATGTTTTGGGATGGTTTGGTAGATAACTAAACAGCCAGAAATCCACTTTTCCAGCCAGAATGAATATCACATCTGAGTAAGAGGTACCTTCACAATAGTAGCTCACTATGGTTTATCAATAGAAATGCTACATTCCTTCCATTCAAGGATGCCCATCCACTGAAACATTCAGCTCAGTAAACCCAGTGCCTACACTGTACCTCACTCGGTCAACAATGTTAAATGATATAAACCACCATAGTAATGGCAGTAATAAGGGCAGCTAATATTTACCAACTTACAAGGCTTCATACTAAACTTTTTATTAATTTAACCGTCACAAAAGCCTTTATGGATCACTAATATGACCATCTATAAAATGGGCATATTAGTGATCACTTTCTGGCCATTTGACTCCAAAGTTGTGCTCCTAACCATCACTTTCAGTGCCCCTTTGAGTACTATTCTACTTTTCAAAAACTGCCTCCCGGAGAAACCAAGATGGCGGCATAAGTAAACACCTAATCTGCTGCCTCGCACAACAATTCCAAAACTACAACTAAAAGACAGAATGGACATCATCTAAAACCACAGGAAAGCTGGCTGAGTGGAAATTCTACAACTAGAAGGAAGGAGAAAAGCTCACGGAGAGTCACAGAGGAGCTGCAAAGGGCTGAGGTACTGAGACACACATGCGGAGGGCAAGGGCAGCTGAGTGCCTGGCTGGCTTTGTCTGGCGGAAAGGAAAAGGAAGCTCCCGACTGCACCGAACCCCAGTTCCGACTGTACTGAACCTGTTCCAGGCGAGACCCTGTGGACCCAGGCTAATAATGGGAGAGTCTGGACAGTCAGGTAGAGAGAAAGGCACATGGAGACCCGGGGGAGCCTTGGAGGGCAGGGTCTGGAGGCATGTGCACACAAGTGAGTGCAGAGAGGGCTGACTGTTGAGGTTGCCGCTGGCTTTCCCTAGCAGGAGGGAGTTAGAAGCTCCTCACTGCACTGAACCCCAGTTCCAGACAAGCCCCTGGGGACCCAGGCTCTTAGTGGGAGAATCTGGCCTGTCAGGCAGATACTCAGGGGAGCTGAGAAAGGCAGAGGTTTGGAGGTGTGCGCACAAGTGCGCACAGAGAGGACTGACTGCTGAGTGTGCTGCTGGCTTTCTCTAGCTGGAGGGACCTAGAAGCTCCCTACTGTGTTGAATTCGAGTTCTGGGCAAGAATTTGGGAATTCAGATTCATTGGTGGAGAAACTGGACTGTCTGGCAGTGGGCAAAACTCAGAGACGGCTTTCTCTCAGAGATTCTTGCAGCAATTACCACAGGACACTGAGACCCAGGGGCCACATGAAGCCAAGACTGTCTGCTCAGCCCTGAGATTCTGCCCCATCCAAGCTAAGCAAGGAGGCTTTTGCAAATTTGCAAGTCTTGTCTCAGAAGGGTGTCTCCAGCACAGAAGTTCTCTAGGCATAGACACAGCTGATCCTCACAGCCAACTGGCCTAGAGATCAAATTCCTCCCAGTGATAACAACAAAAATCAAGACTTAACTACAACAAGGCTGTACACATAGTCCACAAAGGGGTGCACCAAGAGTATCCACCTCTGGTAACTGGGGAAGCCAGCCCACAGTGCCATATAGGACACCTAGTACACAAAGGTACCCTACCAACTCAGGGAAGCAGTAAAAATGCAGAAACAAAGAAACAGATCACAAACAAAAGAAATGGAGGAAAACAAATGACTGGATATAGAGTTTAAAACCACGGTTATAAGATTACTCAAGAATTTCCTAGAGCCGAAACCAGTTTGGCTCAGTGGATAAAGCGTCGGCCCGCAGACTGAAAGGTCCCAGGTTCGATTTCGGTCAAGGGCATGTACCTGGTTGCAGGCACATCCCCAGTGGGGGGTGTGCAAGAGGCAGCTGGTCTATGTATCTCTCTTATCGACGTTTTTAACTCTCTATCCCTCTCAAATTCCTCTCTGTGTAAAATCAATAAAAGAATATTTAAAAAAAAAAAAAAAAAAAGAATTTCCTAGAAAAGACCAATAAATTTAGCGATACCCTCGAGGATATGAAAAAGGACCAACTAGAAATTAAACATATACTGACTGAAATAAAAATATTATACAGAGACCCAACAGCAGATTAGAGGAACATAAAAGTCAAGTCAAAGATTTGAAATACAAAGAAGCAAAAAAAACACTCAACCAGAAAAACAAAACAAAAAAAGAATCCAAAAATTTGAAGTTAGTGTAAGAAGCCTCTGAGACAACTTCAAGCATACCAACATCAGAATTATGGGGGTGCCAAAAGAAGAGAGAGAGCAAGATACTAAAAATCTATTTGAAGAAATAATGACCGAAAACTTCCCCCACCTGCTGAAAGAAATAGACTTACAAGTCCAGGAAGCCCACAGAACCCCAAACAAAAGGAATCCTGAGGACCACATCAAGACACATCATAATTAAAATGCCAAGAGCAAAAAACAAAAAGAGAATCTTAAAAGCAGCAATAGAAAAAGTTAGTTACCTACAAGGGAGCACCCATGATTGTCAGCTGATTTCTCAACAGAAACTATGCAGGCCAGATGGGAGTGGCAAGAAATATTCAAAGTGATGAGTAGCAAGAACCTACAACCAAGATTACTCTACCCAGAAAAGCTATCATTCAGAATTGAAGGGCAGATAAAGAGCTTCACAGATAAGAAAAAGCTAAAGGAGTTCATCACCACCTAACCAATATTATATGAAATGCTGAAAGATATTCTTTAAGAAGAGGAAGAAGAAGAAAAAAGTAAAGATAAAAATTATGAACAAATACATATCTATCAATAAGTGAATCTAAAAATAAAATGAATTAAAAATCTGATGAACAGAATAAACTGGTGAGTAAAATAGAATCAGGGTAATAGAAAGAGAGTGGACTGATAATTCTCAGGAGGAAAAGGGAGTGGGGGGGTGCAGGAAGAGACTGAAAATTATACACCTATGGATGAGGACAGTTGTGGGGGAGGTAAGGGCACAGGGTGGGGTGGGAACCGGTGGAGGGGAATTATGGGGGGGGGGGGGGAAACAATTGTAATAATCTAAACAATAAAGATTTATTAAATTTAAAAAAAGATACTAATCCATTTAAAAAAAAACAAAAAAATTCCCATCCTCTTGCCTAAACGATTTAAACTATAAACATCAGTTCCTATTATTAGGAAACTTGGAGGCCAGCATTACCCTAATTCCAAAATCATATAAAGACACCACAAAGATATAAAATTACAGGCCAATATCCCTGATGACCATAGATGCTAAAATCCTCAACAAAACATTAGCAAATCTCATCCAGCAATATATTACAAAGATCATACACCATGACCAAGTGGGATTTATTCCAGGGATGCAAGACCACTACAGTATTCACAAATCAATAAACATGATACATCACATAAGCAAAATGAAAGACAAAAATCACATGATTATATCAATAAATGCAGAGAAAGCACTTGACAAAATCTAACACCCATTTTTGATAAAAATTCTCAGCAAACTGGGACTAGAGGGAGCATATCTCAACATGATAAAGGCCATATATGACAAACCTACAGCCAACATCAGACTCAATGGGTAAAAACTAAGAACAGGAATAAGACAGATATGTCTGGTTTCACCATTTTTTAAATTAAGGTATTACATATGTATTCTTGTTCCCCATTGCCCTTCCCCACCCTCATCCCCACTCATGCCCTCACCCCCTAGTGTCTATGTCCATTGGTTAGGTTTATATGCATGCATATAAGAAGTCCTTTGGTTGATCTTTCCTTCTTACCACCGCCCTCCCCTACCTTCCCTCTGAGGTTTGATGGTCTGATCGATGCTTCTCTATCTCTGAATCTGTTCTTGTTCAGTTTATGTTGTCCATTATATTCCACAAATGAGTAAGATCATCTGATATTTATCTTTCTCTGACTGGCTTATTTCATTTAGCATAATGCTCTCCAGTTCCATCCATGCTGTTGCAAATGGTAAGAATTCCTTCTTTTTAACCACAGTGTAGTATTCCATTGTGTAGATGTACCACAGTTTTTTAATTCACTCATCTGCTTATGGGCACTTACACTTTTATTCAACATAGCACTGGAAGTCCTAGCCACAGAGATCAGACAAAACAAAAAAATAAAAGGCATCCAAATTGGAAAGGAGAAAGTAAAAGTCTCATTATTTGCAGATGACATGATATTGTACATAAAAAAACCCTAAAGACTCCAATTAGATTTAATAAATGGATTTGGAAATGAAGCAGGTTACAAAATCAACACTTAATAATCAAATACTTTTTAAAATATCAATAATGAATTCTCAGAAAGAGAAACTAAATAAGCAATCCCATTTACCATTGAAAAAAAAATTAAAATACTTAGGAATAAATTTAGCCAACCAGGCAAAAGACCTGTACTTGGAAAACCACAGGACATTAAAAAAAGAGACAAAAGAACCGAGACCGGTTTGGCTCAATGGATAGAGCGTCGGCTTGGGAATTGAAAGGTCCCAGGTTCGATTCCGGTCAAGGGCATGTACCCTGGTTGCGGACATATCCCCGGTGGGGGGTGTGCAAGAGGCAGCTGATCGATAACTCTCTCTCATCGATGTTTCTGGCTCTCTATCTCTCTCCCTCCCTCTCTGTACAAAATCAATAAAATATATTTTAAATAAATAAATAAATAAATAAAATAAGAAAATAAAAAAAGAGACAGAAGATATAAACAAGTAGAAGAATATACCATGTTCATGGATTCGTAGAATCTCCATCATTAAAATGTCTATACTATCCAAGGTAATCTACGATTCAATGCAATCCTTATTAAAATACCAAAAGCATATTTCACAGATCTAGAACAAATACTCCAAAATTTTATATGGAACCAAAAAAGACCCTGAATAGCTGCAGCAATCTTGAGAACGAAGAACAAAGTTGGAGGAATTACAATACCAGATTTCAAAGTATACTACAAAGCCATCGTAATCAAAACAGCCTGGTACTGGCACAAGAACAATTAATATTTGACAAAGGAGGCAAGAGCATACAATGGGATCAAGCACCAATCAGAAAGAAGGTATGCACCCCTATGTTCAATAGCAGCACAATTTACAATAGCTAACTTCTGTAAACAGCCCAAGTGCCCATCAGTAGATGAGTGAATAAAAACCTGTGTTACCTCTATACCATGGAATACTGTGCAGCAGTAACAAAGAAGACTCTCTTACCCTTTGAGACAGCATGGAGGGTTCTGGAGAGTATCATGCTGAGTGAAATAAGGCAGTCAGAGAAAGGCAAGTATCACATGATCTCACTCATGTGGAATCTAAGTAACAAAATAAACTGATGAGTGGAGTGGATCCAGAGACATGGAAGCATGGAACAGAGTGTGAAATCTCTCAGGGAGAAGGCAGGAGGGGTGGGGGAGGCAATCAACCAAGGACTTTGTGTGA